GAGGCTCTGGCTTGGCCCCGGCCGGCCGACGTGCGCCGCCGCGGGCCGGGGAGCGCGGGTCTTCCACGTCCTCCGGGCCCCGGGGGGTGTCCGCCACCCTGAAACACACACCGCCCTCCCCCGGCCCACTTCTTCGCTGTCCAACCTGTTCCTCTCTCACCGCCAGGCAGGGGAAAGAAAGAGGGGCAGCAGGAGGGGAAGGGAGGGGCTCTGCCCACCTGCTTGGCCCAAATAAAAGGGACCCGTGGCGGCCACAGCAGCCGCCGCTCCCCGGTGCCCCTGATCCTGAGCCCTGCGAATAGGAACAACTGGGACTGGCCGCATTTTCTGGAGCGATGGCTTAGGGTTACGTGCAACCCAGCAGCAACCCTGGGAAAGGATGGAGCCGGCCCTCCCCGACCCTCCCCCCCCCACCACCGGGAGCAGGGAGAGAGGGAGGGAATCTGGAGTGTTCGTGTAAACGGCCCTTTCTGAAGCAGCCCTGAGCTCAAGAGCTGCTCTGACACTGCCACAGCTGGGGGAGAAAATGTTACTTTTTCATTGAACACCATGGACATTATTTTGACATGAATATTGAAGGCAAAGATCTGGACAGTTTTGCACTGAGAAGTTATAAAATGTGCTCACCGATGTAATGCTTCGCTGGACCCGCTTGTCCCCAGGAGGACCCTGACCTGGCTCCACTCACCCACCCGCCTCCCCAGGTGAGCAGGAGAATCTCCCTTCCACACAAAGACCTCCCATGCTGGCCGGCCAGCCAGCCTGCCCCCCCCACACACACACTTCCACTCTCTCTCAGCCCAGCCTCTCATAGCGTGGGTGGAGTGGGGTGGGGTGGGGTCCACAGTTCCCTGGGGAGGTCCCCAGCATCTTCCCGGTGATTCCGCAGTGGAAAAGAGCGGTTTGATCAAGCACAACATTTCATGGAAAGACTGATCCTCAAAGAGCTCTCTCTTTCCTTCAAAGCCCTGTTAGAGTTAGTAAAAGTTCGTTCTGTTCTGATGGTGCCTCATGACCATGGAAGAGTGGAATGCAACCACCATCCTGGAGAAGACCAGGGGCCTATCTGGGACCAGCATGGATGATTGGCTTACTGCTCCCCTGTGCTGCTGTGATGGGAGGCAGCTGGGGGGGGGGGAGAGACACAGGCGGTCCTTCTCCACACCCAGTTCCTGCAGCAACCTCCTCTCCCTTCCAGCCTGATCCTCTTGAGATATTTCTGACCACAGTCCCTATCAGAATTGTCCATTGGGGCCATGCTGGCGATTGCTGCGGATGGGACACTCAGGCCAGTCCCTCTGGAGAAAACCCAGTAGAGGAGAAGGATCCTCGGGGGGGGGCAGGGTGGGTCCTCTCCTCCTTCTTCGTTGCCAACAGGTGCTGGAGGTGGGTGTCTTGTTATTTTAGGAAGAAAGAAAAGAACAGAACAGTTTATGAAATGGCTTGGGCTTCCTATAGGTTGCGGGGGGGGGAGTGTTTCACAGGTGCTCACCTGTCTCTATCCCATGCTCCAGTCCCACACCTGCTTAAAAAACTGGGCAGTTGCTACCCATTGCTAGGGTTCTTCGTTCCGCAAATCTTCCCAACAGGTCGGTCGGTCTGTGACTGTCTCCCTCCCTCCCATTTTCCTAAATTTATATCCCAATCTTTGGTCCTGGGGCACTTTTGGCCAGGAGATGGGTCCTGTCCCCTGTTCACTGCCTGCAGCTTTGAAATGTCTTCTTGGCAGATTCCAGGTTCGCTACATGGTCTGCCAGAGTTTTATCTGCAAGGGCGATGGGCTCACGGTGCCAGAGTAGGCAGGACCACTGGGCTGCCTCATGGTTCAGTGGGGACATCCCTGAAGGCACTTTTTGGCTGCTCCCTTTCCATCACACCCACCCACCCACCTGGCCCACCCCTGGACCTCCTGGCATGGGGGGGGGCTTTTGTGGGCCTCCCACACATGGCCCCTCTCTGCAGAGGGCGCTCAGCTGCCCAGGAGCCACTGGGGAAAGGGTGGGGATTCATCCTGCAGATCAAGGCTTTTGCCCTTGTTTGCTTCAGAAGGATCTTCTCTTCTTGAGACAACATGGTTTGCATTAAGGTTGCAATGTTTTGTTTGAAAACAATGTGCATGTATTTCCTCAAATTAATTTGGGAGGGTTGACATTTATAAATAATCCAATAATTTGGGGGCACCACAAGGAGCTTTCATGTGAGGAGAGATGAGCCAGCACCTCATTTGCATGCTTAATCCATTCCATGCTTGGTTCACCAGCCTTCCTGGAAGGGCCTCAAAGGGATTTCTTGAAGGGGGTCCATCTTTTGCAATATCTCCTGCTGTCGCCCAACCCAGCCCAGCCCGAAGAGAGAAAAGCATGGCTGCTGTGTGAGGGCTGGCTGAGCCTTGCGCCCAGATGTCGCCCATTAAGTGGCTCCCACATCCTCTGGGAGGGGGCTTCCACACCAGGCTTTTATCCTCTGGTGGATTTTGCCCCAGCGGGGAGGGAGGGGGATGATGAGTCAGGTCCAGAGGGTGGGCTCTCCCACTTGTAAGTGGCCCGTCTTTCCTCACGGCTTCTTGTCTCATCCCCTCTTTTCCCAGGAAGGAAAAAGCTGGCCAGAAGATTTCTCTGTGGCTTCCCAACCTCCTCCTACTCCCCCCCCCCCAGTTAGGGTGAGGATGGATGATGCTCCTTCCAGAGATCCACTGCCCCAAGGGAGTGGCTTCAGAAGTCAAACCCAAGAGGTTAGGATCCTGGAAGCATCCCCCGTGTACTGTGCTGGCACCCCTGGAGCTGA